CTTTAGTTTCTGACTTCCAAGCTCATTACCAAATCCGACATTGATTTGATTTCTGATGAAGATACTTCAGTAGCCTTTGGATATTCAGAGCGATTTAACCAATTATGTCTCAGAATATATTTGAATCATATTCTATTCTGAATAAACATGCTAGTTGCTTCTTAGAAATGCTTTGTCATGATGATTTCTCATATATCATGATTTAAGCCATTTCTTTTCCAAGATTGTTCTATCTTTAATCATCTGTATCTGATAGTGAAGAACTAGAACATCAGAATCTTCTTTTCACCAGATAGCTTCTTAAGCTCATACTTTCACTCTGTTACATGAGTACAGAAAGTAGTGAACACTAAAGGATACATTTATGTATCAAGAACTTCTGAAAAGGAACTTTGGATAAAATTCTGACAAACTTAAGCTTGTTCAAGTGAGATGCCTTTCTCAAGCTAACATGACTTAATTTGTCTTAAGCTTAAGCAAATTCTCTTCATAGACACACATACGACAATAATTGGAAAGTCGTAAGTTGCTCTTTCTTGAATGCACTTCTGATAACTAAAGGACTTCCATTCTTATCACTTCAGAATCCTGCAAAGTTTCTAGAGCAGGTAGTCAAAATTCTGATAGCCATATCCAATGCTTATCTGTAGTCATGATTTAAAATTTTGATGCTAAGATTTCTAACATCTTCAACATACTTTATCTTGACATTTCCAAGCTTCAGAATCATGACACGAGCATTCTCTCTTCTCTACATGAAAGAGTTCCTAATGAGCAATACTAAGAAAGTAAACGGTATACCAAATCTGTTTGCTGAAAACATCCCATACTAAAAAAGAATTGATCTTCAACAAACAAGATTTGTTTCTTTCTGATGAATCATGTTGATCTCTTTTAGATCATTCTTTTTAAGCCTTGTCTAGGCATCACCTTGAGGAGATACGTAGCTTTCAACTAACGTATTTCAAGAATAACATTCATCAGATTCTTCTAATTATCTGATGAGTCTATTATCCTTTTACCAACTGATTCTTCATCTTGCTTTCAATCTTTTTGCAAATGCCATAAGAGAAGATTATGTTGTCAATAACAACCAGCTCTAAGAATCAGTGACACAATCCAGAATGAACCTTTCTACTTTGTCATTTTAGTACTCAATCTTTTCATCATCGTATGAAACTGAAACTGTAGATGGTGGATGAGATTAACCAGAGCGTTTCTCAAAGCTTGTCCGGATCTTTATCTTACACGATTAAGTGTTTTATAAACATTAATAACAGAACCGGAGCTCTGATACCAATTGAAGGTTGAGAAATACAAGAAAAAGGAGTTTGAATTGGTTTCACATTTCGTTCGTATTTGCGGAATTAAACTAATGACATTAACAAGTAAATAAAAATAAATGAACACAATTATTTTTATCCTGGTTCACTGTTAACGAAGCTACTACAGTCCATCCACCAAGGTGATTTTGCCTTATCACAAGGACTAGGTATCAAAATGATTACAATCTCTAAGTTGTTAAACAACACGCTTAGCCCTCTCAAACATCCTGACTTTCACATAACCGCTCAAGGAAATCATCAACCCACAATGGATACTCTCCATTGTCTTCTTGAGAATTCGGACTACCACGAGTCCCTCAAGAAATACAATCACCTTTTGACAAAGGATTTCTCAAGCTACCTTCAACAAGGATTTATGCCACCTTTAGAAAAAAGATTTTACATGTGCACACTTAATGCTTCTTATAAGCTGATTACACAAATGAAGTACAAGAACACCTAAGTGTTTCTAGCAAGTTATGAGCAACAACTCCTTGCTTTCTAATACAAAACTATCTAAAGAATGAATCTCTGAGAGATTATAAAACATTAGTTCTATATTGCTTAAAAGCTTTCTTAATGAGCACTACAACTTCTTTTCATGAGCTTTGAGATTCTTTTGATGAACTCCTTTCTTGAGCATATAATGCTTCTTCTAGCTTAACCATCAAGATTAACTAAGTTACTATGCTCCACTTATTGGTATTTCACTTGACTAGTTATACATGGTTTAACATGTTGCATCGTTGTACACACATTCAAACACTTTGCTTCAGCTTCTTCTTCATTGAGCATTCTTCATTTAAGCTTCATCTTGTAGCATTTTCTTCAGTACCTTGGCTTTGCATAGGTTACTATCATTAGCAACCAACTATATGCAAATCAGCAATATGTTCAGCCAATCAACTACGTTTTCTCGCTACTTCTTCAAGCTTCTTGATTTTCAATTTATAGAGTTTGAGATAGATCCGTTGATGGGTATTCTTGGAAACATATTCCAATGGAAATATTTCAACGTTCACATGAAAGAATGATCAACATCACTGTACAAAAAGCTGCTCTTGTGCCATTTTATCGAGGTAGAGGTCACAATTTTTGTTTTAATGTGTTCAACTTAAAACCATTCTTATCTTCAGTCTTCTAGCATCTTCAGAGGCTTCAAATATTAACTTGATGAAGCATGTTGCAGAAGAGTTAATTCTTTGTAACTTTAGAAACCCAGTCTTCAGAATTCCAAGATCTTTGTTCAGCAGAACTATCTTGATAATCTTCAGCGCTCGTTCTTTTAGAAGTAATATCTTCAGAGTCTTCAGAACCTTATCTTCAGAGTCTTTAGAATTCATTAAGCATATTCTTATCTTCAGAGTCTTCATTACTTCGTTCACCTGAACCTTGACTTCAGAAACTCTTCAGAACTTAACCTTAAAATATTGTGTCTTCAGAATCTTCTGAACCATGTTCACCTGAATCACATCTTCTGAATCTTCAGAACTTGTAACATTAGAAGCACATTATATTAGAGAGCCGTAAAGGCCTTTCTCATAATGTCTCAATTAGAATATTCAGAACTAACATTCATTAGAACCGTTGTATTAGGAACATTCATTAATCTTGACTTTATCCTGTACACACATATATGTTTTCTTCCAGAGTGTTGATAACAGAGTCCGATGACGTCACACGTCTTCTTATCAGAGTCAGAATCATTTTGACAACAATTTCACACTAGACATAAACTATATCATACAAAATTGTTCTCTTAGATAACATGTCAAATTATCATCGAAACTCAAAGGCCAAATGTATAACCTAATCTTGTTCTTACAGTTTTTACTTATTTGGAAGATTTAGTTTTAAAGTGTGATATTCTATTTGTTTTTAGTTCACACTATGTCGCAATCCAAGGAAGGTTACTTTAGGAACTCAGGTTCTGTGCCAGCAGTGCATTTGTTTCATAAAAAGGATCTTATAGCCTTTTTAGGAAACTTTCTATTTTGTTTCTATTTTCATGCAAAAGTTTGTGCAGATTATTTGCCGCTGCTGTTTTGGATTTGCGCCCAAGCCCATTTTGATCAAAAGATATTTAAAGGGTTACTCTATAAATAGGCTATAATTTTCAATATACCGCACACAAGCAGTTTATGTCTTATTTTCATCTGAAGAATATGTGTTTGTTGTTTATCTCCTAACCTTCACGATTACAACCTAATTATATACATGCTTGTATGATTATCTAACTTTCACACTAAAATGTATATTATACTTTATTGTGCATGTATATTCGATTGACCAATTAATATCGATTTAACTCTAAAATCTCTCTTACTGACATCATGTTTGGTTGACAAACACCATATATGGTCATGCCACCACTATGACCCTATTCTAAATCCTATAACTCACAACTCGAATCCAAACACAAATATAATACAATGCCACTTCAACATATATACTTATTACATTAGCGAATATTAACTATTTCCTCAGTCCTATGATAGAATAATTTATTTGAAAGTAAAAAGTGTCTAAAAATAAATGTTACATTTTAATTTTTAATGTATTTTTTTTAATTATAATCTGTAATTAATATTATTTTTATTATTTTCAAAAATTTAGTAAAAAATATTTTAATAAAAATATCTATTTATTTTTCTTAATCCAACATAGTCATTTGTTGTGAGAATAGCAATTACTATCCAAGCATCATGATTATAAATGCGACCACTTAAATGGAAGTGGTTGCACCTCACCTATATAATTAGAAAACTCTACATAAGTCCTAATCATCCATTAATAATCCAAACCACTAAACACACAAAATTCTATTCATAGCATATCGTAGATAGGACTCACCCACCCACCCACCTATATTCAACATGTTCTTGTTAATCATATACTTAGTATGGTTCATCCCACCAAACCTTGAAAAAAAATCAATTTTTGTAGCAAGAACAATTTCTCTTATCATTTTATGTCCCTCAACATGCTGCTACCAAAAAAAAGGTAAATAGACTATGGCCTTGTTTGCTACGAGTCCAATTTCATAACTTCGTCAACCAATATTTTACATATTATTAACCGATTTTATTTACTATTAAAAAATACTTTTAATATTTAAAAATTTATTAACCAATTTCATAACTTCAATAACCAATTTTTTACTTTTTATTAATCAATTTTATTTTACTACTAAAAACTATTTTTAATATCTGGACGTTCATTAACCAATTTCATCACTTCATTAACCAACTTTTTATACTTCATTAATCAACTTTATTTTATAATTTAAAGAACTATTCACAGACATTGTTCACGAATCATTGTTTACACACTGTTCATGATAATGTTCATAACACTGTTTATAAATATATTATTTTATTAAAAAAATACATTGTTCACCGTATAAATATGATGAACAGTACATACAGTATAAATATTGACGTAGAAAATTGATATATAAATACAGCAAAAATTGGTATATAAATACCATTGCTGTTTCACTTTATATGATAAATAAAGAGAAATGCTTATTTGACACTGATTTATCCACTTATACAGTGAGTTATACCATAAAAGTACTCAAATCATTTTTTTAATAATTTAATTTTTCACTTTAATTTTAATTTTCATGCAGCACAAAAACATGAATATGTATAAGGTGTAAGTGGATATCCACTAAGTGTATTTATCAGCAATCTCAAGGAGGGACAAACACAGTTCTTGAGGCTTGGAAAGAATGGTCATATGATCAGCTCCATCAACCACTTTCACAACATCAATCCCAGCATTTTCTATCATCCATTGTTGAAACTCCACTGGAATTGCCAAATCCTCATTCGCAACAATATAAGCACGTCGAACCGATTCATATCTCTCTTTGGACAGATTCTCTGCCTCAGACAATTCCTCAAGAAAAAATGACCCATCTCTTAGTAATGTCTTCACCAATTCAAAATCCTGCAAAATCCAAAATAAATTATTTACATGCTTTGCAAGAAACTGCAAAGATATAGAACACAACACAAGTACCTCTTTGGAGCATCGTTGAAAGAATTTAGTGGACAAGAAGTTGATGCCAGGAATCACATTCATTTTTCTTCCATCAAATGAAAACTGAGTGTCTAACCATCCACTCATTGGATATCTCTCAATATACTATCCATATTCACCAAATTAACATGTCATGTAAAAATTAAACAAAAACATTAAAGAATTATAAATTAGTTTATAATAGTTAAACATCCTCACCTGTTGTATTACATAGGATGGTTGATGTTTGGTATCAGGAATAAAAGCTGCTATGAAAATTCCAACTGCTATTTTTTCTGGGAATTTTTCCATTGCAAGAGCTGTACTCATTCCACCAAAGCTATGTCCTACAAGAATCACTTTTTCACTTGGATCAAGTGAGGCTAAGAACTCTAACAAAGGCTTAGCATACTCAGCAAAAGTATGAACATCTTCTATTTTGTGTGTGTTGGTGCCACAAGCTGCAAGATCAAGTGTTGTGACTTTGTGACCGATAGATTCTAATTGTGGTTTTAGTTTATACCAACACCAAGCTCCAAGGCAAACACCATGAACCAGAACAAAATGCTTCTGTTGTTTTTGGTTCATATTGAGGTCGGTCATTATGTTTTCTCTACGCTTTGGAATGTCTTTGCTTAATTTATATAGAAATATGCCAAATTGAGTTTGGAAGCATTCTTTTTCAGCCAGTCATTTATCGTTGACAATTCTACTTATTAAATATAATTTTATAGTACTAAATAAAAAGTCTAAGATAATGAATTTGATATCATTGAGGGGGTCTTGCGTGACTACATTGGAGACAATGACATATGATATGATGGCTACAAAAACCGAATTTGGTTTATGCTAATTTGGACATCACTCTTTCTTCGACAAAGTGAACATCATACTCTATGTGTTTTTTTTGAGTATGAAGTGTTTGGATCTTGTTTTGAGGGTATGCTGTAAAACTTAAATAATAACATAAAAATATTAGGATGAAAGTTGAACAAAATAGATTTCAAAGCGTGTGTTTACACTAAGCTTTAAGTTCGATTCGCCCCCACCAATTTATGCAAATTAGATGTAAAAGGGTTAATCAGCGAATCTCCTTCATGATACCTTGAAAACTTTAACATGAATCACATATTTACATTAAACATATTGATCAATAATATTTTACAGAATGACTTACGTATAATTTTTGCCATTTGAAACAAGTAATTTTTGTGTATATATTTATGTTTAACAAGTATCTCTATTTATAGAAAAACTTATACCAATTGGTGAGAAGAAACAATGTTTCATTTGATTCCAACATGACCATTTGCGAACCATTGTATATCAATAACAACAAACTTTTTCATGAAAAGTTGTGTTAATATGGTGGTTGCACCTTTTGACCATGCACCCAATCATTATAGGGTATCTGGTTTTATTCTAGACAGTTGCAACTTTTGGCCATTTATTATTTTGTTAATTTAACCATTGTTATTTATCAATTTAATAATTTGAAATTTTCTCTAACGATCCCCCACCATTTTCAAAATATATCTAAATCCATTATTCAGGAAATTTTATGGTTTCAAATAAAGGTATCTTACGATTTGAACCAATACTTAGTAAGTTAAGCTTTCACTTATCCCCGAATAGATTGATAGACAAGCTTTGAACCATTATTCATTAGAACAAGCGTGCATAACTCACACATGAAATCTCGGTACCATTGATCGAATTATTAATATGACATATTTAATAGGGTATTGTGTCTCATATCCTTTTCATGAGAATTTAAAATTCAAGCCCTTGAACTCTATGAAGTGGCACCACTTCATTCTCATATAGGTAGACTATATCAAAAATGCACCCATAATTATGCATTCAAGCAAACACATTCTATATGTCTATTAAGAGGAAAACTTCATCCTACCACACTTATACTTATGGTCTAAGTACTTTTGTCCCTTGGGATGTATCTATCATTAAGTACTTCAATCACTCTAATAGTGTACTTTCATCATTGCACTCAAGACTTAACATTAATCATGTGTGAGTGTGTATGCGTATGTCAATGATGCGAATGCACGTGCTTATGCAAAAGAAAAAAAGGGATGTCAAATTTCGAGTTACGACAATACCATATAGTTCATATTTCAGAACCCGACCACTCTTTCATAGTCAAATCTCACTGATTTCATTCAATTTCAAAAATTAGCTACCGACATACTATCCCTTCATAGGATTGATGCTCAAATTCGTTATCATCATCTACGATAACATCTCACTGATTCCATTCACTTTTGGCACTCAGCTATATGTATACTACCCATTCATAGGATTGATGCTCCAATAACAGACCAAAGTCCAGACACCATGAATGCATGCAACATCTTACACATGCAACAACAACATCAAACACAATGACCAACACCATAGTCAAGATACTCTGCCAATACTGGCCACCGTGCACCAAACACATGATATAACAGTTCAGTTACAACAATAATAACAATGCAACGTATAATGATCTTCATCTTAATCATTATACCACACCAAAACTGGTCACCATGCAACTACAATGTTATAACAGCTCATCAACATCATCATCCAACATAACAAACAACAACAATGCATTTATCGCAAAACAACATAATAATATAGTAATCAACAACTACAGCAATAATTCAATATGCTATGAACAACAACATCAAGCATAATGACCAACACTTCCATGGTCAATTCACACCTCCAATACTGGCCACCATGCTCAACATAATATTGTAACAACTTCACAACAACAGTTTACACCATAGCAACCAGCAACGACACGTTTCAGATTTTATCGCATCACAACTTAATCACTACAATTGCATTTAAGCCATCACACAACAATGTATCAGTATGAGTTTTGTTGAGCTTAAAAGCTTCAGTTTCGTTGAGCATAGTCGGCTTGGTTTAGATTAACTTCGCCTTATTTGACTTTTCTTCTCTTTGACTCTTCTTGGCCTTTTTCTCTTGATTTTCTCACATTTGGCTCACTCTTCTTCTTTCTGGCTCTTTTATCTCGCCTTTATCTTGATTAGCTAACCATCCTTCAATATCTTAAAAGTCTTCTTTTTATAGCTTAAGGATAGATCCGTTGGAGGGTATAATAGGAAACAAATTTCAACTGTAGTTTTCCAACGATCACTTGAAGGAATGGTCACATTCATAATACAAAAGAGTTAACCTTGCGCCACCTTTTCTAGGTAGAGGTCATTGAGTACTTTGTACTTTTATATTCATTAACTCACGCAAACCATTCTTGGTCTTCTGTCTTCTAGTTCTTCAGAGGCTTCAGATGTATATTTGATGAAGCATGTGGTAGAAGGATCAATACTTGTAACATCATAACCAAAGTCTTTAGAGTCTCCAGAACTCGTTTAGCAGAACCTTGTCTCTGGAATCTTCAGTACTTGGTCTTTATAAGTGATGTCTTCAGAATCTTCAGAACTCGTTCAACAGAACCTCGTCTTCAGAATCTTTAGAACTTATTCAGTACATACTTATCTTCAGAGTTTTCAGAATTTCATTCAACTCAACTTTGTCTTCAGTATCTTTAGAACTTTATTACAATATAAATGATGTCTTCAGAATCTTCAAAACTTGTTCAGCAGAACCTTGTCTTCAAAAACTTCAGAACTTGAAGCATTTGAAGTACATCCTTAGAAAGCATTCAGAGCTTACTTACAAAGTCATGATCAAAAGCTCTAGTACTAGCGTCTTTATAAATGTTGCATTAGGATTATTCCTGATACTTGACTTTAACAAGGAACACCATATGTTTTCTTCCAGAGTGTTTAGATCAGAGTCTGATGACATCACACACATTTCTATCAGAGTTAAATCCTATTTAGCAAAAGTTACACACTAGACATAAACCATTGAGTACCAAAATTTTCTCTAAGATAATATGTGCAGTTATCATCAAAACTTAAGGCCAGATGCATAACCAATCATGTTCTTACATAACACATCCAACTTGTTGATTCCATAACATTGAAGTGTTATCGAGTAGTTTGATTCAAAAATTTGGACCAAAGGAATTTATAGGTGGTGAATTTCCGAAAGGGAAATTGGTGATTTATGAGGAAGAAATTATATTTAGATGCAGGTGATTATTCATCAACATTCATCATGAACAAAGCTCGAGTAGAAAATTGCAGAGGATAAAATGATGAAGATGAAAATAATTTAGCACAGAGCGGAAGAGACAGAATCATTGGTGATTGATACCACCATATTAAAATTCAATGTGAATCTTTGATCCATCGTTGAAAACTAGAGTTATCTCCTTGATATAAACAAGGTGTTAATGGTTGGTTGAGTTGTAACAAACTCAAATGATTTTTCTAACTAACACAAATTAATTATGAACTCATTGAGCTAACTAACATATTTAAAATAAAGGTACAAAGAGCAGGGCCGGTCCAACCGCTTAGAGATCTAAGGAAATTTTTTAAATGAGATATTTAAATTAAATAAATGAAATCAAATTTTGTATTTGACATATGCCATTTAAAATTTTGTACCAATTCAATAATGAGATTTTATATAAGAAATATGTCATTTAAAATATTTATGGCCAAATTAAAAAAAAAAATTGAGGTCATTTTATAGCTCAAAATTTTGAGGCCTAAAACCCTTACTTGAGTCTTCTTACCCTTGGGTCGGCCTTGACAAAGAGAGAAAAATGCAAACTCAAGATACATACAAAAAGAAAAAAAAATATTGCAAACATAAAGTAAATAATATTTCTGATGCTTTTAATAGTAGGATTTTAGATTTTTTTTTTAAATAACTGTGTTTTTCAAAATAAATTTCAAAATAACTATATTTTAAAAAAATATACTAAACTAACCATGTTTCAAAAAAAAAAAATCCTCTGACTATTGTTGTAGTCAGATCTATTGACGCATGCATACAACTTTTGTACACAGCCGCCACCAAACATGATGCATGCATATATGTCATGCCACTGCAAGTGGCGCATGCTTGCATCCTCTAAAAGCATGCGCCACAGACAATGGCTACTGTGTATAAAAGTTGATATAACAAGACAACACAGTAGCCATAAACAGTGACCACTATGTACAAAAGTTGCATGCTTGCGCCACAAGCAGTGAATACTGTGTACAAAAGTTGCATGCTTGCGCCACAAGCAGTGAATACTGTGTACAAAAGTTGTGTGCATGTGCCACAGACAATGACTATTCTGTTCAAAAGTTATATGCATGCGTCATGAGTCTGGCTACACCTTTTGTCAGCAATTTTTGTTTTGTTTTAAAATATGATTAGTTTGATATATATATATATATATATATATATATATATATATATATATATATATATATATATATATATATATATATATATATATATATATATATATATATATATATATATATATATATATATATATATATATATATATATATATATATATATATATATATATATATATATATATATATATATATATATATATATATATATATATATATATATATATATATATATATATATATATATATGAAAATATGAGTATTTTGAAAGATATCATAATTTCAAACTCGATTTCA